AGGAATCCGAGTGGAAGAACACTGGAACTCTCTGAAAGAGTTGTGGAAAGAAACCTGTATAGCCGTGTTACGAAGGAAGAAAAAACAGGACAAGGAATGGATCTCGACGAACACATGGAAGCTGGTAGAGAAGGGAGTGGAAGATGGTGAAGTAGAAGATGAACCAATGGAGTGTAGTGTAGGCATGAACAACGAAAAGAGGAAATGAACACAACGTTTAAAACGCTACACTGGACAAAGTAGTGAAGAGGAAATCGTGCAAAGACAAAAGACACTTGTGCGACACATTTTGCAAGTGAAGCAGAACAGGCTGCAGGTAAGAGAGACCTGACAACATTATATAAAATAACCAGGTTACTATCTGGGAGGGTAGATATCACCACAGATGAGAGCAATGAAAGATGGTGAAGGAAACCTAGTTACCAGAGAGGAGGGTTGGCCACTTCGGAAAACTCTTGAACCGACCACCACCACCACCACTACCACCACTTCCAACTCTTCCAGAAATACCACCAGCAGAACAACCACAGAACTATCTACGAACACAAACCCTGCAACAAAAGCAGAAGTGAATTCCTGAACCCCATAAACTAGCTGAACTGCGGGAAAGCAGCAGGACCAGATGGAATTCCCCCAGAAGCACTGAAAACAGACATTGAGACATCAGCAGATATGCTCACACCACCACTGCAGAAGATTTGGAAGGAAGGAAGGAAGGGTACCTGCTGATTGGTTGGAAGAAGGAATTCCAAATTAGGGTGACCTAAGTCTGCCACGGAATCATGCTCCACCCCTGAAAACCCTAAGCAAAATATTAAGCCGTATCATCCTGGAGAGACTGAAGAATCCTCTCCATTCAAAATTACCACCAGAACAAGCTGGCTGGCTGGCTGGCTGGCTGCTTGGCTTCGAAAAAAGCAAATCATCTGTGAATCAAATTGCAACGCCACACTACGCATCATCATAGAACAGAGCATAGAATGACAGTCAACTGCATATTCACCTCAACTTGATCGACTTTGAAAAGGCCGGCCTTCGATAGCGTCGACCGAGAAGTGATTTGGCAGACAGCTGAATCAACATTACAGTTTTAGTCCCACAAACATTTATCAACCTGATTCAACAGCAGCTATATGCTGTATGACGACGCCACATGCCAAGTGGTTGACAATGGGAAGCTCAGTGATGCGTTTGAAGTGAAGACAGGGGAGAGGAGTAAGATGAGGTTGCCACCTACTATCATCACTCATGATCTTCCTGATTGTGGTCGACTGAACTGAACTGGACTAGACTTGATGATGCAACAGACAAGTGTGAGGAGCTGTGAGAAGATGGGCATAGGCTGACTGGACCAATGAAAAGACCCTGGGAGGAGATTTGGATTTTGCCAATGATGATTCATGTCTAATATTTTGTCCAGAAGTTTCGAACTCATTTCAGTCAGTCAGAAATATCCATCGGGTTCCTAGTGGAAGATAGGGCTTCAGTAGCACGTTCCCATCTCACTCCCTTCTCTGCAGTCCTTTTCTTTAACCTGGCTCCACCACTGCTAATAACCTTTCATTTCTTCATCACACCATCTCCTCATGTCACCCTCAGCTGGGACGCCCAACTTGTCGTTCCCCATTCGACTTACACTCCAAGACCTGGCCTGACTTGGCGAGTATTGTCATCAACGATCTTCTCAGTGTATGGCCAATCCATCTTCACTTTCTTCTGCATATTTGTTAGACGATGGGTTGTTGGTTGGTTCGTTGTCAGCCAGTCAGCCAGACAGCCAGCCAGAGTTCCTTCTTACTTATTCTCATCATTATTCTGGTCATCTGATCTCCATCTTCAGTATCGAGTGAGCGTTGGCGGCAGCTGTTCATGTGACGTATGTCCATAGTTGGTTGGAAATGCTTTTCGTGGCGTGCCAAGTCTCTCAACAATCACATAGAACCACTAACATTATCACTAAGGTATTTGGAACAATGGGTGTTGAACGTTTGAATATGTAAAGGTACATGAGGCTCCTCAAGGTTGAGAATGCGCTCCAACAACATGAAGCCTTGGTCGAACATGACCTCCTGTTGATGGCCTCCAAGCAACTAACCTAAATCAAAATGCATCGTGACAGTCAGTCTTCTAGCCTGGTGATCATATTGCAAAATGGTTAATAGAACTCGGTCATTACTCAGGACTAGATAACATGAAATTGGTCGCTCTCTCGTGACAAATTAATGCATGTAATCCAGTCCTACAGGAGGTCAATTGCGGCCCGAATGGCTGAATGGTAACGTCGCAGTTCACAACACTGGGTGACGTGGGTTCGAACCTCAGATCAGACATTAGTTGCGTCGACGTTGCAGATACGCCTTGCTGATGAGTGCCAGCAAGTAGGAAACCTAGGTCCATGGTTTCCTGCCGATCGCCTTCAACTCATTAACACTTATCAATGCACACCGCGATGTTGAGTCTCCCAACATGGTGACCACATTGCAAATATGATTGATGGAATTGAGTCAACGCTCGGGACTAGACAACATGAAATTGTCTGATCTTCACTGTCCATTCAGTGTACTTTGAAGATTTATATTCAGCAGCAGACTTTATATCTAGCTGATTTACTTTTTTGTGGTTTATATATTTTCTTCGAGAATAAGAAATGTCTCTCACTTTTTTGGTAAAAGGAAGCTACAACAAGAAGTATTACACTATTCTGAAACATTTTACGGTTCGATTATAATCAAAGAATCCCTATTTTAGCCTATACGAGCAACCTATAGCTAAAAAGCTGCTGCAATAAAGGTGAAAATTGTCTTTATTCCGTTTCATGTACCGACTGTTTAGGTGCCTACAGAATCCAATTGAAGTCGAACTGAATGAAATGGCGACAAACATTACTCGAATGAAGTGTGTTATTGGGGGCGGGGGATGTGTGCTTCTGAGGTTTATTCATCTCAAGGTAGTTTTCATTGTAGATTGACATCAGTATGAGAACCCTTGATAAACTAGGAGCACTGGACAGATGTTTCCTCCTAGTTTGGAATTCATCCCTAGTGTTCATCCCTGACCACGTGAGGGAACGGGTCCAAGACTTTCATATCTCACAGTCAGCAGGTTACCATTTAGTCACTGGGTTCAAATCCACTGGTCCACTAGTTCCTACTGCTTTCACCAGGCGACATAGTGTGATCCACCTCTCTCGTGACTTTATGGATTCCATAGGTTATGGGATAATTTTCCAGTTGGACTGTACATACGCACAACTGAAGAGTCAGAAACTTAAATAAACCAACTGTCAAGTGCTGAGTTAACTAATAAAATGAACGGTGTAAAAGTGAAACCTGAGCCTAACTGGTCCCAACAACTAATTGTCCTCCTTTAGAGGATGTATTTGTTTTGACAACTGATTGGTGGTTCATGCCAAGTTATCTGCGTTTGACAAACGTTATTTAGGCATCAAATATGCTCTTTATCCATCCTTCTAATCCAATGAGAATGAAATGTATGAGAGAAGTCTTTATCCACCATTGAGACAAAGAGAATTGGTGTTTGTAGAAAAGCCTATTTCATTTAAAGTCTGATTGATACGTGTCTTTGGATCGTTTATAAACCTTCAAGATTCAAGTGTTGTACATAATGTACATTTCAGTAAATGCTGATGAACAGAGTTGATCTTGACAGTGTACCTATGTTCATTCATTATTGCCATGTTAATCTTCATAGTACATTTCTTTGTTTGCTTTGTCACCTTTGCTTTTCTTTCTTCTCATGACTTGCTAAGGGCCTTCTTTTCACAGATTCTAGATATTTTAGTATCTTTCTTTGCCAGTGATACCTAGTATCTTCATGCGGTGACTTCAGGGGTCGCACAACTCGGACCGTAACCAGTAGTACCAGATGCCATGGTGATATTGGCCGACTGACTTCTGATGAACATGGAACCAATTGGGACAAATCTTCAGTTAGTTGCATAAAATTGACAGGGGTTTCAGTAGGCAATAATGGAGAACGAAGATAATGAATAGATAGTGACCGAACAATTCGGTTCGGTAAACGACGGAAATTACAAATAATAACATCATAGTGCACCTATCGGGTTAGAATTGGTTTTTATGACGCAGTGGCCTAGGGAATAATGCTTTGGCATTCGAAACGATCGGATGGGAACAAAACCACTCACCAGAATGGAGGTACATTCAACTGACGAGTCCCAACAAGACGAAACGCAAACCATGGATTTCACTGCTAGCTACTATTCATCATTACTATCTAAATGCAATTACCAGCAATATTGAGGTATTCGTGATGATGCACATATGCTACGCTACTTATTGGCCGATCAATTCGGTACACTCAGACAACAGGAAATTACAAGGAATAACACTGAAAATCAATTTATTGAACAAGTAGAATGAGAAAACAATCTTTCAAACAGGATAGATCTATGTGCAGATATTCCAGTAAATGCTATTGATGAAAGTCAGTCGAAACAGTTAATAAAGCAACATATTATACACAGTTATGCATTCATCTTCAAAACTGCAGCATTTGAATAGTAAATAAGTGTAGGTTGGTGAAAGTGACTACAGGAGAATAAATCTATCATAGATACCAGACACTTTTCAATGAATTGGAAAAACACTCAACAAAGGAGCAAAGTTGAACCAATAGAAGATACTCAGACGCACACACACATGCACACAGTGTAGCACAACGTGTTCTGGTTTGTTTTTGCTTCGTTTTTCATTTAGAAGCATGATATCTTCATTCATTTTTGTAATCTCATGTGATGTTATTAGAAAGAATGAGAATATTAGGGTCGATACCATGATTGATGATGAATATAAGGTAGGTACAAACTGAGAGAGCCTGGAGATAAACGCGACCAACATTTATTGGACAGTCATAATTATAATGATCATAATAATGATAATAATAATAATAATAATAATAATAATAATAATAATAATAATAACCAATTGATGAAACCGAGACGCATGTTACTGCCTGCACTAGGCTATAACCGTCTTATCACCAGCCCATGCTTCACAAGAATCTGTTAGATAGGTGAATAATAAAATTACTAGAGCAGTCAAAAATATGCCACCAGGCCATAGAAGACTATGCATAAACATTGATGGTGTATACAGTCGGTGGAGGATTGCAGCAGCATCTTTTGGATCCGACGGCATAGGAGGTAGATGTCGATCAGATGGTTGTTTCGAATCACTGAATAGTGTCCATGAAGAAGGTGACGATGGTGAGGAGGAATCAAAGGATAGCGAAGGAAACTTTTGTTCTGTTGTCGGCAGACTGTTCATGATTAGTGTTGTTGTTGTCATCGGACGAGCATAGCAACGAAAAATATTACGACGACCTAAATCACGCTTGAACTCTTCAACAGCTAGTTTATTGTCTTCTTCACGTCGATGACATGGACTTGTTGAACACTAGTTTACCGATGGAAAAATAAAACAAAATGACAAAATATATAATGGTAAGGTTAATACACTCTTTTTGCAAAATTCAAAAAATCAGTTATAGTTAATTTGGCCGCTAGGGCAAACCAAACGGTTTCGATAAGTACAGGTACACGACGGCGCTGGATGAAGGTCGGGCGAAACTGCAAACTGACAGAGGTAAGGAAATGTGAACCACTGGATTCAGATACAGTAGCTCAGTGTTAAAGTACTCATCACGCAACCTGAAGGTCATGGGTTTGACCCATGACGCGGTTGTACATGAGCATTTGTAGGGAGTCCCATACTAAACGAAACCAGCTGTCCTGCATTCTAAAATTTCCAGTGGTTCTCCAATTGATGTTAGTCTGTGGTGAATACCACCTTACGAACACAGATACTGTTAAGTGAAGCAAAGTTGTAATTCCACTATGGTTCCTTTTTTATGTCTGTCACACAATGATACAGTATTTTTGACTGGATGACGTTTCGAGCACAAATCATTCCTCATTCTCATTTCAAGCTGATATGGTTATGAGGACAGAATTGACAAATCATGCTATCCTCCAAGTAACCAATCAGAAGTAACCTAGTCATTGACTAACAATTCAGTGGGCTAAAGAGTTAGAAATTCTCATTGTTTCGGGTTCTTTATTTTGACTGGAAGTTTGGTTACTTCATGAAATTAGAAACCGAATTGGTCAGAGTGGCCTTTAGAGTGAGTGGTTATTCCTTTGTATGCATAAAGTAATGCGAGTGCATCAAGTGGCCGGTTGTGTCAATACTATCTAACACATGTGATTAGTTCTACGTAAGATAATGTGTGCCAGCAGCAAACTAATCAGTACCACCTTATTTACATGTAAGTGCTGATAATATAGAGTCCAATTACTTCGTTCCGTTCAAGACTCGTCAACTGGGTGCACTCAGTGAGCGGTTTTTCTCCCTCTAAATTTCGAACCCAGGATCAATGGTAGCCGCTTTCTATTACTAATGTCTAAACTGCAAATTACAAGGAATATCGAGGAATCTGCATAGCAGCTCATATGCTAATTGTGGACGATCAATTCAATCCAATCGACGACGGGTCAACACAAGTAACATCATATAAACTATACCCGTCTCACAAGAGGTGGCTATCGTTACACAGTGGCTTTGTGGATAACGCTCTGGCGTTTAAAATGATCTGTCCTAGATTCGAGTCTTAGTGGGAACAACACCACTCAATGAGAGGTAGGTACATCCAACTACCGAGTCCCAAACAGGACAATATATACATTATTCATCTGTATATGTTTCAGCCTAAAATTAGAAAACTAAAAAAATGATTCCCTTACTGTTCCTGTATCTCACTATATAACGAAAATGTAATTTTCCCTAAACTGGCTTGAATTTACGCTGCACAAATGCACTTTATGACTCGTAGAACCTGAATGAAAAGAATATCCCTTGTTCAAACTGTTGCTTTTTATCAATGTTATGGGAATCTCGCCTAGTTAACTAGTTCACTAGTTACTAGCAGGTCCTAAGCCCGGATAAAGACGGATGGTTGGGCACTGAGCTAGCAACCCTACCCCGGAAATCCAATCAAACCACTAAAGAAACTTCAAAGTACAAAAAAAATATAAAAAATAAAATAAGACTTATTCCTCGCTAGAATCGGGGAGACGAAATGACTGCAATTGGTGAGAGCCTTCGGGAAACCAATTGGCCGATGTGTCTTCTCTCGATGAAAGCGAAAATAAACGTGGGGACATGGAATGTCTGCACAGTGTATATAATGGGTGACATGAATGTCAAAGTGGGAACAGATAACACAGGAAGAGAACTAATCATCAGTCGAGAAACACTCGGTTAAATGAATGGAAATGGAGAACTGTTTGCAGAAGTCTACACTTGTGATGATTTGGTGATTGGAGGTAGTGTTTACAAGCACAAGGATATTCACAAGGCAGCGACATGGATTTGATTTCACCAGACACCAGGAAACACTACATTAAAAATCAGATCAATTTCATTTCAATGTGAAGGAAGTGGAGACGCAGCCTACTGGACACAAGATCAGATCAAGAAGAGTAGCAGATGTAGGTTCACATCACTCACTGTTTAGTGCAAGGAACCTACCTCCAAAATCAAGTTGAAAGCCTTCAAAGAATAAACAAAAAGGAACTCTGCCTGGACGGCAACGAACCAATCAACACCGGAACGCCCAACAAATATGCAGAAAAATGTGGTTATGGGTTGGACTGTATATACATTGAGAAGACCATTTGGGGACTTCACGCATCAGGCCCTCGGTTGGGGCCCAAAGGGGAGACGACGAGTTGGGCATCCGAGGATGACATGGAGATGGTGTGAGGAAGAAATGAGAGCTGCTGGACAGCTGTGGAGCCAGTTTCAACAGACTGCAGTAAAGAGAGTGAAATGGAGACGTAGTACTGATGCCGCACGTTCTACTAGGAACCTAAGGGAAAAATAATAATCATAAATGGGAATCTTTAGATGTTTGGAAGTGATAGTAATAACAATAATATTCCGAAAGGATAGTATAATTTGAAGCAGAGAAGAAAACAGAGAAACTAATTACTGAAGCCTGAGTTGTGTGATCAACACGGCGTACACACGACGGAAGCAATTCAGTGTTTGTTTCACATACATGAGAAATCCCACTTCCATTGAAACCAGGAGAGCAGAAGAGAAAGGAACGTGGTAATCGGTTCCATAGTGATTTTTATCATGGACTGACATCAATCATGAGGTTATGAATACGTTCGACTGAGGAGTCCTCAGTTAGGATGAAATGCCTTCCCAGCACTTCCAGGTTTTCAATAGCTCTCCAAATGGTGCCAATCCACGATCAAAGCCTCCCTGGAACTAATAAACTCCTGAAAATCATGTTCGGCTACCTTGCTATGACACAAGGGCTATCTATTTATTGAGTTGTATCGAATAAGTAAAAATCTAATATGAACTGGCAAAAAGAGAGATTATTCGAATTCAACGCTGGAATTAGGTGTATACTCAATTCATAAATGATGAAAGTGATTTACCTCAAGTTTATTCAAATTCTGTTGTATTTCGATGATGAATTACTGTCAACTTAAGTAGCCGTAAACCCTCAAAGCCTTTATCAACCAATCATTTTGCCTCGAAGTTTCTGGAAAAACCACATGAATCAACGTGTTAGTATCAAATTGGTTGAGGAGACAAAAAATCAATCTGACATTAAAATCTAAAGAGGCCTGGAAATAGTATACATAAACCCTTGGATTTTGAATACATTTTTGACGTTGCAATACACCTTCTGTTTTCCTACTACCTTTTCCATTTATCGAAAAACTGAGCGACCACCAAGATGTGGAATCTGAAGGTTATTCCTCAAGCGCTCACGACAACAAGGTTATAAAAGCTGGTGAAACGGAACTTGCCAGAAGAGAATGACTTCATGTTGTTCAAGTGGGCTTAATAAACCTGTAAAAGAGGAATAAGGATCTGAAATTAAAAACTCCGGCTATTAGTGTTCACGCTCACAATCACACCTTTGTAGGCGGATCTTGACACACGCGCTTTGAAATCTCACGACGATCACCAGTTCCCTCATGGGTTGCGGATACACCCTACTGAAGAGTGTCAACAAGTGCAAAAACGTATGTCCAACATTAGAATACAGTATGCTGTGGAGCTGTGGCTCAGTGGTTCAGAAAGTGAGTCCGAATTCCGCACCAATTACTGAGGTTTGGGCAGCCAGGTAGTATCACTAGCCCTCACACAATAGGTGTGGCTCATTGCCTAATGCGTGGATGTGTACAAGGTGTAGTACAGTTATACTGACTACTATCTATTAACCTGTACGTGTACTTTCAATCTCAGTAAACCCACATAAGCCCACTTGATAACTTGATTATTACATGCAGCGAAAAAGAGGTACCTTATTCAGTGGTATTACTTCAGGTTACTTTGTTCGACAGACAGAGTACTTTACGATGTTCATTTTGCCAACAAATATACTTGATTCATTATCACTTGTAATTTCTCCTTGTTCTTTTCGCTAAATCAAAGTAATCCGGCTCTGTTGGCACATGGGTTACTGAGCAGATGTACCTCAGTATTGTTTGAGGTTTATCTTTCATGTTATTTGTTTGATGGTGTCACACAGTGGAATCCCAGTTAGGCCTCATCAGCCGAATCTACCTGCATCCCACTGAATGAAACTCGAATACAGCACCCATCGCATTAAACACTAGAGTGTTTTCCATCATAGGGACTACCTCTTGTAAAATAGATATCTGTCGTCATCTGATGATCCTCCTAACTCTTGGTTGGGTATTAGATCGAATTCATCAGTCCCTATCAACATAAAAGGAAATCTTGAGAAGCCTTCAATTTCATGTTAACATTGAGCCTATTATTAGAATCCGGAGTGCGCATTTCTTCCTCCTACTCAAGATTTATCAGTCACTTGACTACCATTCTTTCACTATCGTCTTTCTCCACTTCAGAAACTAAACTATATCTCATGTAACCTAGTTTGATTTTGTACACAGTTACCAAATCAACTGGAAATACCAGCGGTATAATTGACTGTGACAATTCATGTACGAATTTCTGAAAAATAAATTGACACATCAACTTGAAACGGTGCACATTTCATGAATCATACAACAAAAACTCACAGTTTTAACTAGCGACAAAAGTTGCTTTATGCAACGCTTTGAGATAGACTAATTTCAAATCAATTTCTGCAGCTGACAATGCATGTAAAACACGGTATGGATACATGCTTATACTTGTCAGTAAGTCAATCAATTAGTCAAATTTTATAAGGATTTATTGATTAATTATCACTAAAATTTGTTCATCTCTTCATCTCTACGGCAGGAATAGAATAAGCAGTTTAACCAATAAAACACCTATATCATTCCACCAAAAAAAAAGGTTGATCAGTTTGAATGCCACAATACTGAGGTGCAGTGTCTGGTTAAGTTACACTT